TTACTTGGGTGGTATGATCTGATAGAAAACAAGTCCTAAAGAGTCTAAAGATTATTTATTAAAAATAAAAATAAGTTTAGCATTTTTTTGGGGAAAAAAAACAAAACAAAAATTGACTTCTTTTTTTTTTTTTTATATCAGTACCAAAGGTTTAGAAAAAGAAAATTTGTAAGTGCTATTTATGTTAGTGTAGATTAATATCGAATACTTAGGAATAAACTTAATGCAAGATATACAATAATCTCCAAACAGAAAAGAATAAAGCAATATTGAGAAAAAAATAAAGACCTTAATTAATTGAAGTTTGCATTCTTGGATTGGAATATCTGATATTCTAAATATTTGAATTCTACCAAAATTGATCCATAGATTCAATACATTCTCAATAAAAGCTTCAATGTATATCTTGGTAGAAATTAGTAAGCCTCTTCTAAAATTTATAAATAAATGCAAAGTGGTAATATAGCCAAGATATAAAGAAAAGGAATGTGTTGAGAGGTCATGCTTCATACTAAGCACTGTGGAAGTAGTGATGAAATAGATAGTGGCTTTTGCCTTCACAGTGCTTAGTATGGAGATCTGAATCCTGCTATTGCTTAATAAGTGGTCATTACATTCACAACTTATGAACAACTGTGTTCAGTGAGAGGTGGAAAACACCCTATAACGGGAGGGCCCATTATTGCTCTTCATTACCACTGTTCTATACATTGCTCCTAATTAAAGCAAAAGCTTCGGTATTCCTTTGGGTCAGAATAGTTATCATGAATTTATTCTTTTATGCTCATTTGAGAAGAGAAAACTGTTGCATTTGAAAGGACAGACTGTTAATGGTGGATGGAAGGAGGAATGCATTTCTACTATTTCGAGGATTATGATTATATACTCTTGCCACAGCTGTGGTTAGGGGTTGTTTACAGTCTTTTCATCTCTGAGGATCCAGCAGACTCTGACACCAATCTCTAATTTTCTACCCAAGGAGAAACCAGGAGTACTTATAGAGAAGGTGGAAACATGCAAACTCACTACTCCCAGAGACATCTGTTTTCGAATTGCAGCATCTGTAATCAGTAAAGATTTGACCTTTAGGCAGACATGGGAACACTTCTAAGGTGAGGGATAAACCGAAGACAGCAAGAACCAAAAGCATGGAAATACAAAGAGAACCAAGAAGAAAAATAGAGGCAATAACAGGACTGGAAAAAAACAGATTACATGCTGAAAAGATACGGATTTAGATAAAGACAAATAGAAAGAATGGCAGCAGGAAGTAGAGTAGGAAAGGAAAAGTAAAAATGTTTAGAAAATAAATGAAATGAAAGAGAGAAAGCCATAGAAATAGAAAAAGAAAGCAAAAGTGACTTTACCTACAGTAAAGGAACATTTATTCAGAGAAAGGCAAAACAGAACTGTGGATCATTTGGGAAATGAACTACTAATTGAAGATTAAGTAGCGAAATTGATGTAATTGTCTTATGTGTAAATTTCAGGTAAGTGTTACTATTTAAATTACAAATAAATAGCGGGTATACTTTAGCATATTCTATGGTAAGTGCTAAAAACTGCAAGATTATTAGAAGGACAATGTACAATTTACACAGGAGCAAAAATGGGTGTAATCTTCTGTGAACAATTTTGAAATTTATGATGTATCATAATGTCCTGCTCCAACCTTCTTCAGTGATTTTAGGATAAGTTGGTCAGTAGAAAATAGATTTTGAGGACTGAAGCCAATATGCCGGAGAGGCAAGAAAATTGTCTTACGTTCAGTGGTTCTCCCTTAAGTACTTGGAATAGGTGAGTGTGTGATGTGAGTCTTTTCATGCCTCTGCCCTTTAAAGCAGTCTTGTCATTACTCCCAGTCTCTTTCTGTTATTCCTCTTTCAACCTTAGCATGACTAAATTGTACTATCATGAAGATAGAACCACAAAGAATCATTGTTAATGACCTAGAAATAGGGTCAGAAGAAAATTTCAGAGAAGAAAAAAATCGATAAAGGGACTGAGAAAAAGTAAAAGAGAGACATGACAGATGGGGATGTGAGAGAAGAAAGGAGAACACACATAAAAACAGAG